TAAATATAGAGACAGGGTTGTGTAATTACAGAGTCTACTTTATGTCCGCGTCCACAAAGGCAGCTTGCCAGGTAAGTGAAAAGAGGACATAGGGTGAATGACATTTACAGGAAACCAAACTGTGACCTAGAATGACTGGAACGTATCTTACTACATCTAAAAATAATAATTATTATTATTATTGCCAACTGAAAACAGCCGTGACACTTCAGCAATCAATAGCAGTGTAAATATCATCTATAAATACCTTTAAACCCGACCTCTTCTCCTAAATGGAGCAAGTATATAAAAATACAAACTGAAATATTTCAAGGATAAATCACAGTAAATGGGATTATCCTGAGCTCAGCTCAAGTGTAATAACAAGGGGTCTGAATACGAACGCAGATGTGGTATTTCAGTTTCCCAGCTGTCTGATCAACTTTTTTTTTTGTTCACATTATGGAGCAATGAGATAAATGAAATAACATCCGTTTTGTCAGTTCTATAGGCACAGATTGAGGAAGTGAAGGGCTCTCAATAATTTCCAATTGCAGTATATGCTTTTTTGAGTTTTAAATATTTCTTTAGCTCCCAATTGCCAAGGAAGAACAGCATTTGACTTGGAGGACTCTAGTATAGCAACATTAAGGCATTTAAATTTACAGAAGAACTGCATCATGTTTTTTTTTGGGGGGTTTGGGTCACTGCAGTGATGCCAGATTAAAATTACCTGGCGCGTGCAGTGAAGCGTCTGCAGATCCGAGCGCTCGCTCTTCCTCACCATGTCTGCGAACTGGAAAGAAAAATAGTGGCTTCCTGACATCACTGTATTCATTAGAACAGGAAAATGCACGCAGTTTCAATTAGTATACAGATTTAGTTACGTACGTAACTGTGATTCTGTAAAAGACAGCACGAGTCTCAACAAACAAGCATTTTTTCTTTTTTCAAGAGCTTTGAATATGTTTTCTTTGTCAGTCCACTGAATTATATTTCTAGCAAAGTTATGCAAGGGGGTATATACACTGTAGTAAACTGGCTGAAGTCCATTTTCTGGACCGGAATAAACCGGCTCCAGGGCCGCGGTGATTGGTTCATAACGCGCTCGCGAGCGAGAACCGCGCGCTCATCCACTGGTCACGTGACACGCGCTGAATATGATGAACTGCCTGCATAAAGAGCGCGCTGGAACATTTCAACCACATAAAAACAGGGCAATATAATGAACTATACCACACCAGACCTTTAAACTGTGAAGGTTATCTGTTATTTCTCAATGCTGAATGAAAAGAAACACTTCAATAAGAGCCGACTGTCTGCTTATGTAACACAGGCTGCTGCAGACCGTTATTAGCGAATACTGCTTACAAAATACACATAACAAATGGAAAACTGTCGAGCGGTTTAAGAGCATGTACACGTAATATACTGAGGATAAAATCTATTCAACAGAACATCATTCAAACCTGGAAACTGCGCCCAAATATGTGTATCTACGCCTCGGTGTGTCTCTCCGGTATGCGCGCGCGAGGAGGGAAGACGGGGAGGAAACACAACACTGTCAGGCCACGCCCACCACACGTTTTTTCGTCTGCCTGCCATTGGTCTATTGCGGCAGGAGCGTGATGACGCAGACGGGCGGAAGTTTCACCCAGTGACTCAGTTCTTTTATTTGCTGGTTGATTTATTGATTTTTAAATGAACCACTTTCAGTCATGGCCCCGAAAAGGGAACTAGGTGCAAATGACCTCAGACTGAGAAGTGGACTCAGTTCTGTTTCTGGACATGTTACCAGTTCATGAGCTCTTGAGGAGGTGTTGATGACTTATTTCAAACACTGTATAACAATGTCATCTAAAATGGCTGTTTTACATGACGCCATCATTTGGCTGTGGATGAAATAGGGAGTGGAAAACAAACAAACAAACAAACAAACAAAATACAAGCCTACTACATACACTACAAAAGTTTAGACACACATTCTTCATTTTTATTGTTTTCCCACATTTTAGAAGAATAATAAAGTCATCAAAACTCTATCATAACACACATGGAACTATGGTAATTATGTTGTGATTAAAAACAATAATAATAATAATCCAAAATAAATAAAATTTTAAAAATATTTTAGCATCTTCAGAGTGCCCTTTTCGCCTAGAATTTCCAGAAATGTATTCTTGGCGTTTTCTCGACCGATTTCTTGAGGAATTTCCCTGAGATGCTTTTTAAAAAGTATTAAAGGAGTTCACACCGACGCCGGACTCTTATCACCTGTTTTCCGGAATATTTCTCTCCGAATCGTCCGTTTAAAACAATATATATATTTTTTGTAAATAAAAGGTTAGTTTTCTAACGAAATATATGAATATGTCGGCATGATTATATTTTTTGTCTAGAACACCGATTTCAAACATTTAATCACACACCTTCAGATCAAAAGGTTTTTAAGATCATGAGAAACATTTCAGTCAAGTGTCCACAAACTTTTGACCGGCAGTGAATATTAAAACGGTAATATACAGTAACTATTTTCCAGTCATTGAAACACAACCCCCACAACGCCCCTTACACGGCATACAACCCCACTGGCAGCCATTTTTTTTTAAACGTAATCTTCTTGATCTTTTCAAACTCAGTTTAATGTTAAGGTCCTTATCTTAACCTAAATATAAAATATTTATTTTATACTTAACATATAATAATAATAATAATAATAATAATAATAATAATAATAATAACAATAATAATTCAAAAACTATTTACTTATCAGAAAGCACCAATAAGAATGACTCATGCAAGATGTTTCTGAAATACTTTATACACAGAAAATATACAAGGGCACCCATTTCAACTTTTGGACACGCGGGGGCCATAAATTTCAGTTCATCACCTGTCTTCCTTTACATGGCTGTTTGTATTTATTTGACACTTGCATACTCTCTTTATATTTACAATGAACTGTAAACGTCTAATAGCCAGAAAATAAATTCTGATATAAATGAGTGATAGGACTTGATCTGCATGCTGCTGTACTATTAAAGATGCAATAAAGCTCACTTTGAGACTAATAACAGAAAGATTAAGCAAACGGTTTCCTTGGTTGTCCAGGTGTTTGCTTGTTTGTTTGTTTGTTAAATAAATTCCTAGGATAATGATTTAATTTATATGTAAAATGATGTATAAATAAAATAATACAAGAACAGTACAAATTCACATAAAATCTATGACACAAGCAAGAGAAAGGGCACACATATATATATATATATATATATATATATATATATATATATATATATATATATCTGTATATATATATATATATATATATATATATATATATATATATATATATATATATATATATATATATATATATGTGTGTGTATATATATATATATATATATATATATAGTCAAATACCACTTTGGCGGTGGTATTTGCATTAGACTGAACAAGAATGTCATGTTTCAAGCTGCCCGGGTGTTTAACATGCCCCAGCACAGTTCCAGAAATACAAAGCATAAGCCAGTATACTCCTCAGGGGCAAACATGATAGCACTGAGTATTTCCGAGTCAGATTTCAAATCTCAGACATGTAAACATGCTGCATAAAAACCTCATTTAGCTTTCACATATAGAGTGTATAAAAGTTTTCAGGCACTGGCTGACGTTTTGTAGTTTAAAACAGTGTATAAAAGTGAGAAACTATTTTATGATCCTATATATTTTAAGGTTTTTTTGCAGTCTGATGTGTAAAAAAAAAAGAAGAAGAAGAAGAAGAAAGAAAAGAAATATAATGATATTGGCTCATATAGCATATTTTAACCATAAAAAAACCCCCACATTTTTTTGGAATATCAAGTCGGCTACAGCTCTACTTAGGCTCATTTAGTAGGATAATATCCTAATACAACAAGGCAAACCTTAGGTCAAATATATTAAAAATGAAGATTTAAGAATACGAGATGCTTGGACCATTGGTGTATGAACATCGGCCGTCTGCTTTTAGGTGTTACTTCACTGTCCACCTGCTTCAGTTACAGATTCGCTCTGTCATGGCTCTCTGTTGGAAAAGAAAACACATGAATTTTGTTTGTATGGAATTTTGATGTATTTAGTCTAATATCCAACCGATGTCAAATATCTCCACCCACCAGACAGCGGTTTCCTCCGCTGCCTGTATTGTAAAAGATCTGCAATTGCTTAAAATGTGTTCAAACATATCCTTCTCACCAGTGGCTCCAGTTCGGAGTGTTCAATGAGACTAAACTCAGAGATGAAGTAGTAATAGTGTTTGTAGCAGGTGTTGACATGAGCCTCAGCTCCCATGTTGCAGACGCTGTCAAAGTGGTGGATGTAAACGTGCACAAACACACGGAAGAGCCGACTTAGAATCTTTTTACAGACCTGCTGGAAGTTCTTCGGAAAAGGAACCCCTGAAAAGGAGAAAAAATCTTTCAAACCTGGAGTCACGTTATATTCTTGATTAAATGTGGATAAGGCTTGGTCCAAGGGTATGCAGTATACCAACCCCAATTCCAAATAAAGTTGGGACAATACGGAAAATGCTAATAAAAACAAAGAGGAGTGATTTGTAAATGTACTTTGACTTGTATTTAAACACAAAAATGTATAAAGACACAGTCTTTTTTTTTGGAGTGTGTTGAAGTCATCAGATTTGAAATGAGTGTATATTTCTATATGTATAAAAATAACTGCCTATATACTTGTAATTCCACTCCACTGAAACACTAGCCAGTTGGCCAACATGAACTTACACACCAGGATCTGTCCTTTTTAAGTCATATATTATATTACAAATAAGTAATATTTATAGATGGTCACAATCCATACAACCATACATCCATTTTCTATACCGCTTATACTACACAGGACAAGGTACAAGGCAGGGAACACCCTGGACAGTGGGGCGATCCATCACAGGGCACTATCACTCACAGTGAGTATGTGAAAACCCCCAAAGAAGGAAATCCCTGAAGCACAGGCACACAGGACAGAGGACAGGGCAGGAATCAAACCACCAATCCTGAAGGTGCGAGGCAAACGTGCTAACCATTAAACCACCATGTCCCTCAAATGGTCATAATCTTCACTGTTAAATTAAAACCATTTGTAGCCAGGAGCAGCATGTAACCATATGGTATTGGTGGGGCAAGACAACATTAATTAAACAACATTGTCTCAAACAAAACTAAGTCGATACTCTCAATTTTGAGAAATTCAACCTTATAACCTCATAATAAGCAGATGATTTCGACAACATAGTCTAGCAGCTTGTTTTGAGCAGTGTTACATGTACCTTTTTTCAACTGTGTTTGTTACAGCAGGTGAGTTTCCCATCTGCGAGGCCCACACATAAGCGCTAATATCATTAACCGAGGTTGCTAGGTTTCAGCTACATTTCCAACCTAACTACATCCCAAAATCCACAGAAAATACCTAAAACTAGCCCAAAAGAATTCATGCATTGGCAAAGGCGGACAGCTTTCTTCCTTTTCTCAGTTGTTTCATGGGGGAAACAAGGTCAGCATGGTGCACACGTATTTCTGATATTATAAGCAAACTATTACAATCAAACTATTCAAGTTTGCAATACGTCTTATGATAGAACATGTCTGTACTTTTGCTGTGCCTTTGTTCGCAGAAATTTGAAACATTTTGAAAGATTTGCAGATTTAATTCCAGTGATTTGCTGTGAAACAAAATCTTAGCGGCTGAAGAGTATTTTTCCAATTTGGTGTAAAAACCGTGACCCTGCCAACCCTGTCATTACCTGTCATGTCCATTTCTCCACCTCAAATCAATATTTTCATAGAGCGAACATTGGGGATTTGTGATTCCTACGCTAATGTGACTCTATTAGCGATTGTTGCAGTTGATCATTTGACCATTATAAATAATAATATTGTGCTTCCCCACAATTGTGCAGCATCTAGAAAGGCAAATCAATCAGTGGGATATTGGCTTGTATCTGTCAAACAGCAACATTTTTAAAACCACTGATCCCTCCAAAAAGGCAGCTAGTATTTCAACAGAAATTAAATGTATGGAGCTGTGAATGAGGACTTTATGAAGATTAACATTTGTTGCAAGTTTGATTGTAAAGAGGAGGAGCCAGTGTTTGTATGTCCCCTCTTTCTTACTGACAGGGAATTGACTACTATAAATTAAACAGATTCTCAAATGCACATAACTGCAGTTAAAGTGCACCTATTATGGTTTTTCAGATATGACCTTTCATGTAGTGTGTTATCGAGCTGTGTGTGAATGTAAAACATCTGCAAAGTTTCAAAAATAAAAGCGCCCAACAAACAGAGTTATTTACTCCGAAAATAATTAACTGATTCTGAACAGCTGAAACGACTCGTTAGTGATTCCAGACTTTACTTCCTGTACTAACCTACATAGGTTTGTAACAAAAAGCCCCGCCTCTGGTTTTCATCGGCTGCTCGCTGGCAGCGGTAGACCAACCAAAACATACTGGGACACCTGACCAATCAGAGCAGAGTATGCTCTCTCAAAGGAGGAGTTTAAAATGAATCCTTTAAACGTAAAAAAATGGATGCATGTAAATCTATTGCAAATGAGCATTTAAAAACTGTCAGTATTAGTTTCAATAATATCATACAATGCTTAATTTCCATTGTTGTATACAATCATAAAAAAAGTTTAAGACAGATGGCTGTGAACTGAAACTGATATGCCACTGTTTTGCTACAATGGCTTTAGGTACTGCAATTGCAATCCATGAACAGTTCTGCACTCGAGTCACCTGCTTATGAATTTCCTGATTACACATTTGCACTTGTTGACCATGTAGTACACAGTTATAGAAGGACTTTATTTATAATTGCGCTATCCGGTGTCACCCAGAGGAGGATGGGTTCCCTTTTGTGTCTGGTTTCTCATATCGTCTCAGGGAGTTTTACCTTCCCACTGTCGCCTCTGGCGTGCTCATTAGGAATAAATGTATACATTTCAAATGAATATCCTGAATGTATATATTTCTGTAAAGCTGGACAATGTCATTTGTTAAAAGCACAAATGCAATTATATTGAATTGAATGGATTAATTGCGGACACACCTATGCGTGTAGGGAAGATATTCTCATTGTTGATGAGCGATTCAATCCAGTCCATCATCAGGTTCATATACTGGAGGGCTGGGAGTTTGGTGGGCTTCTTGTAATGGTCTCCATCCTGCCATCTATACTCATAGCGAGGGCCTCCAGACATGACAGGGCAGCTTCTCTCTGTGCAGAATTCGCTAACTGTTCCATAGATCAGGTTGATGCGGTTAAAGAAATCTACCACATGCACAGCAATCCAGTCATTAATGTTCTCTCCATCAGGCAGCTGAACCACCTTCCTGAGGTCCAAGCCTGACTTCAGTGATGCCTGGGCTCTCTTATACAGCTCAAACCTCTGCGTGCCAGGCTCGAAGCGCTTCCGAGGCCTGAACGTCTTGTCTTTGCTGAACACTTGGCCAAGGCAGAGAGCCATGCTTTTACAGCTTGTACAAATAGTAGAATCTCCAGCAGAAACGTCAGGATAGATGAGATGAAGTCTCCTGTTTCATCAACTGGTGATGCTTGTAAAAAGAACACAAATATGAATACAAATGAGTATTCTGTCATTTTGGATACTTTCTTAGCAATTCAAGCGTTTACAATTAAGTGATATTTGACAGAATAAAGTTTACGGATTTCAGATTTCTGGTAGAAAGACGCTATTGCTAGCGACTTGAAAAAAATGAGATTTGGTAACGTGGGTTGTGCCGTGGCCTTCTTCACTACAGAATTCAGAGCACTGGTATGTCTAAGTAACAATGACACAAATGGTGTACTAGTATAGTATGTACTATGGTACTATGCCCAAGTATTCTTGATTCTGGCGATAGAATTATCTGCTGCCAGATTAAGCATGATGAGAATAAAATCTTTCTTGTTCACATTGGTGTGACTATCCCAGTTACAAATAATCATGTGGAAAAAGCACATCCTCACGGTTGCCCTATAATCTCATAATGCTCTGCCCTGTCGGATAGCCCACGAACTCTGTTGGGTAGCTAGCTAAAATACAGTGTAGAGGTCAAAACGATCCCTTTTGGTCACTTCCAAAGTTTGTATGATCTAATCTGCATATTTTGTTTTCATGTGAAATCATTAGGCTTAGCACATACTGATAAAACACAGAACAATAAATATACGCACTACTGGTCACTAACCGGCTATGATGAATGCATGAAATGAATCCATTTGCCTTCTAATATCATATCAATACTCTGACTCTGATTTGGTTTGGTCACTCTTACATGCTTTCTAACATTCTCTCTCATTTGATTGGCTGCCTGCATTTGCCTGTCACTTGGAAATCAGACTTCTTTTATGCCTAAAGTTAGATGCATGATGGCGTTTATTGTATCTGACCTGGCATATGAAGCAGGCATTCTTTCCCGATAACCCTGAAACAGCGCTGACTGAAGGACTGTTACAGGATTGTCTGGGTATCTCGCACCAGCACAGAAACTTTTTTTTTTGTCCACTGTTTCAATCATTCCAAATTCAAAACGCAATCATTATATACAGTTAAAAGTAAATGAACAAATGTAGCTGAGATAGAACAACGTCGTGCATGAATATCAAGTTAGGCCTGCGTAAGAAAGCTGACTATTTTATCATTCTTGTTCGAAATTCACTCAAATGAAGACAATAAGATATGAGCTACCTCGAAGTGGGGAATAATTGCACCCAGGTCGAATGAAAAGTCTCTGTGTGAATCTACTAGTGCCCTAATGGAGGTTATAACAGTCAAATTGAAATCTTTTTTTGTTCTTGTTGAAAGGCTGATGTTAAACAGAACATATATAGAATTTGTTTTTCTTTTTAAATCTGTACCTGCTGCTGACACATTTCAGTTATATTTACTGGTGTGATAATCATTTTGCCGTTTTAGATTAACATGTGTGATATAGTGCGAGCACCATTTTTTTTTCATCACTTCCTTTGTTTCTATGCGGTCTGACTGCATATGATAACGAACCAGCCTTGTGGCTCGCTCGGGCTTCTGGCTGTTTGTAGTCTCTATACACAGCTGTATCAACTGAGCGCATTCAGTTGAGCCCTGGAATTAACCTTCCCATTTGGCACAATGGTGAGCATGCCACTGACTTTCACTGGGAGATTTATGTTGTAGCCATACATATGTGGAGAACCAAAATGACTGGAATTAAATGTTTGGCTCTCTTTGTGCTTCCAAAGCACTGTATTTTACTACGAACTAAGGAATCAATCTAAACATGTTTCCATAATCATTGATTCTTGAAACAAATCTGCTCGAAAGTCATAAGCAGCCCTCAGAGACCTTTTTCATTGGGTTATACTTGATTATATGGTGAAACGTTATAAAAATGCAAAACACTCCATTTGCCTGAAGAATTGCTGTGGAAAATAACTTTTGCGCTACATCATTGACACGGCTAGAGTGTAATCTGAACCATATAACCATTGCAGATTTATTTATTTTTATCTTACTGTATATCTTACTCACATTCCGATATACCAATACACACCGAATTCAGTCATAAGCTTAACTGGATGAACATGTGATGTCTATGTAAATGCACTACTATATTTATGAAAAGCCTTCACGTGCACATCTGTGTTTTATACCGTGTGTGGGTTTGTGGTGGAGTGAACCATATTCTACACATTCTCAGGAACTCATATGTCTGTACATATTCCAGCAAGGTTTACAGAGTCTAATGGACTACAGGGTTATAAATACAAGAGAACAAATTGCAGAAACAACTCATGAAGTGCAAAAAAGCAAAGAATTTGGTTAGTTTCATTGAGATAACGTGTAGGAATGAAAAGAGAAGGGGAAAAGAAGGATCTTCCCTACAGTACCTGGCTCAAGTCCCGTCCTGAATGCTTGGAATGCTGTGGGGAACTATGGGAAAGCTCAGGAGAAAATCTCTGCCTCCAGTTAGCAGCCAGAGGACATGGATTACACCGCTGTCTGAAGAGTTTGGTCTCAGTAACTCATCAGAAAACCTGAGCAGTCTGAAAA